TGCCTTCCCGACCACGTCGATAATACTCCCTCTTCTATTTGCTTTTCTTTCCCTTCACCTCCTTCTCCGTCTATTGGGCAAAACACTGCCACTGACCTCGCAGCTGCTGTTATCGATACATGCGGCTCTTCCCTCCAACCTAGAACTTCATCTCACTTTAACGTCCGCACTCTAGGTCTGATCGGTTAGCAGTCAGCACTAACTCTTGCTTTTCACTCTCTTGGTGTTGTTGTGTGTTGCGTCTCCGTAACACGCACACAAGATAACAGCGATGTGACGAATCTTTGACTCCCAGGTTCTGAATCTGGCGACCATGTCCACGATCTTCGCGTCCCTGGTGATACCGAGCCAATGGTTCAAGATATTTAATGGTTGGTATTGCCCTCAGCAAACATACTGAAGGCAGTTTGCTCGACTCAATACCGGTGAACAACCGCATATGCGCAGGTCGACTCCGATCTACTATAGGAGTTAATAGGCAGCGTCTGAAGCCCAGGTGACTTTTCATCACCTCAGTTTGTGCCTATACTGTATACAAATCAGAGAGTATCCAAGACGTTTTCTATCGACAGCTCTCATCTCTTCTTCACATGGCGAAGAATGTTGACATCGTGATTGTTGCTGGTGACATGAATGCTCAAGTGGGTCGTCTTTCAAAATCTGAACAGCCCCTGGGTGGGCGCCGAACAGTCAATGGTGATTTATTCCTGCAGCTGTGCGTCGACCACAACATTTACCTCAGCAGCGCTGCTTTCCAGCACAACCGTTCCACTGCGTCACTTGGCGCCCACCAAACCCCTCAACTTGATCACATTGCTACCAGCAACAGATTGCGTATATCATTACAAGACTGTCGCTCAATGTGGAACACGTGTCTGGATTCTGACCATGCTCTAGTACGCACACGCTTGGCACTCACACTTCCCGCCTCAAAAAAGTGCCTATATTCTAACCTTACCCGTAACTTGAACTCACAATCCGCAGCTCAACAACATCACGACGAACTGATCCAACAATTTTCAGTGATGAATGAGTTTAGTTGAACCGAACGCTGACTGGAATTCTCTCAAACCTGCCATTAGGAATTTGACCCATACTGTACACCCAACTTGAGACGTCATAACTGCGAGTGGGTCTTTTTGGCATGGATTGACTTGGTCGGAACACGGAAAAGGTTCTGCTAGGTACTAAGTTTCAGCGTGTCCGTAACTCTGAAACGACGCGTTGCAAGTGTCTTCAAATTGACCGGGAACGTTGGTGTATGGCGACGCCCGTGAGAGGGAGAAAGCCAGTGCCACTGAGAACAGCTGAGTACCTTTGCAGCTGATGCAGTCTGAGCAAGCCATCCGTTAGCGTGACAATAGTTGAGAGAAACGGGCAGCTGATTCACTCTCAGCGTCATCAACTAGCCCATTGGGCGGAACATTTTGAAGAGCAGTTCAGCGGGCCTGCTGCGACATTGCTGCTTGCCGAATCGCCTAAGCCGTCGTGGTAAGCAGCTGTGACACCGTCCACTTTGGAAGGGAATCAGCAAGAACTTTCCGTGTTGAAAAGAAACAAGGCTCCTGGACCCGACGATCTTTCTCCATCGTTGCTAAAAGATGGTAATGACTCTGTTGACTGGACTCGATGCTCTATTTAACATGATTTGGAACAGTGGAGAGCTTCCTTCAACCTGGCGTGTGTCAATTATCGTGCCTATTTTCAAGAAGATTCAGCGTATTTAATGCGCAAATTATCGAGGCATTAACGTTATTTCCATTGCTTCAAATATTCTCACGGATGTCATTCTTCGACGAATTGCTGGTCCCCGCGAGAACCAAATCACTGAAAGCCAGACTGATTTCCGCCCTAATCGAGGTTGGATGGACCACATATTTACTCTTCGCCCTGTTGAGGCAGACGCATACGTACAGACGACTGACAATGATCGTTTTCTTGACTTAAAAGTTGTCTTCGACGCTGTTGACTGCGCCCGATTATGACATTGCTTATCCACGAGGGACGTGCCGGTTATGTATTTTTATTCCTAATGCTTTCTATCGTGACGCACGAGGCCATGTTAGGGCCTACAGGAAATTGTCTTAAAGTGCTCCACGACAACTGGGGTTCACCACGGTAATCTTATATCTAATTTCATCTTCAACTTTGTTCTCAAAATGATCATGTGTGACTCGGCTCTTTCAGACTACCGAAGTGAAAGTTGTGCCAAACCCTCGACTGATAAACCTGGAGTATGCAGACGACAGCCTTCCTTGGGTTTGAGGCAATGGTTATGCAAATACTACTGGACAGACTGGCGCGTAGCGCCGGACACTGGCTGGCTAGCCGAACAACCTCCTCGTGGTGTCAGCTGGGTGGTTTGGGTTTAACCCGTTCCAGCAAATAGTTCGGCGGCAGTGTTCCAGGACGTGGTGGGTTTCGCCTGGCAAGCGTTCTCCCTATAAAATGCCACAAATGTCTGCCTAACAACACTGTGACGTGGCGGTCGTAACTCGCCACAAAATAAAGTCACTGCCCCTTGGATATCCGGATAATTCTCTTCAACCCACGGACACCAATCTCCTACTCGCATATTGATGACAATATCAAACATTGAAGATTGGAGCAGCACAACTACAAGAACAAAATACACAGCTACATACACATACATACGATGACCTACATACATACCCCCTACACAAGCACAAACTGCTATGGCAAACATACCGGAGGTTTGCACATTCTTGATCATGCATCGTTATGACAAAATGATCATGCCTGTAAAGGCGTGCCTCACCTCGTTGAGAATAAATGATTTATTTATTTATTTTTTTACTTCGACATCTGTTCTGCACTTTCAATGTACAAAATACTGCTGTGGGACTGGATTGGCACACCTCTGGTTCTAG